AATATATTTTTTAATAAGTGAAAATATTGATTTTTGTGTTTAGATATATTTTTATAATATTAAAATTAATTATGATTATAAAAATATAATTTTAACCCGTCCGCTAATATTAATTCAAAATGAACTATTATAAAAACATAATTCTAACTTTTCCGTTCATATTACCGTATAATATAAATATTTGTTAAAAGTTTGAGATGTATTAACAATATTATTTAGCATTATAGTTTTCTAAAATTTAATCAACGAAGGGAGTTTACAACTGGTTTTTCAAACCACATTATAGTGTATGCAATAATTTTTAATTTTTTCTGTTTTTATTTTGTATGAAAAATATATTTTCGATATACATGTATAATTCAAAATTAGTAATTTTAGTTACCAAAATATTTTTAACCCGGTTTTTATATATATTTTTAGTTCTATGAATTTTTAAAAATATATTTTTAATATTTAAATTATACATTTGAATTTTATCTATTATTTTATTATTAATTTGTAAATAAATCATAATCGTAAATATATTATATAAGCAACATAAATATTATATCATTTACATCATTATAAATATTTTATATTTCAAATATGACCATTATTTTTCATATGTGAATTATTATTATTTTTTTTAAATTTTAGATATTTTTGATAAAAATGTTTAATAGTATAGAAATTATTTAAATTAGAATTTTTAAATCAAATCTATATTAATATCTGATTTATTATTTTTAATCAAATCAAATCAAATCTAAATTACCTATATTTAAGGAACTCTAAAAATATTTAAATTAATAACTAATTTTCGAAATTAAATAGAAATAATTATTAAAATTATTTTTAAATATTTTAAAAAAATTAGGAGTGTTTGAAAGCAAATACTAAATGTGCTTCTGTTTTAATATAATAGATGTACATAACTAAGTACGATTAAACTCAAATACGATCTACATATGTTTATTAGTTAACTACTCTGAAAATCCCTATATTTCACATAATATAAATGAGAATCGAGGTCTAAGGATTTAAAACCCATATTAGATAATAATTATACTTTACTTTTTTAAATATGGATTAAATACCTATTTATACTGGAACGGAGCCGGATATCCGGATTTTTCAAGGTATCCGGATCCGCCGGATAATCAATTTTATTATCCGAATCCGGGTCTGAAAACTCTGGATATCCGGAGACCGGATATCCGGTTTTGTTGATTTAAAAAAAAATCTTCAATTTTTTAAAAATATAATGAGATAACATAGATAATTAAAATGTATCATCATAGCAAAAGTTACAAATAGCAAAAATTAAAAAGCATTCAAGTAGCATTCAAATAGCATAAAGTTTAAAAGTTTACATAACAAAAGAGAAAATAGTAATAAAGAAGTTAATTTATCTTCATGTTCATATGCTATTTATTTTCATGTTTTCTCTCACAATCTGAAATAGAAAATTATCATGCAATATGAATTTCAATCATATGTAAAAGAGTTAAACCAAAAACAATTTTAAAGTTAATTTTTAAAAATGAATAAATATTATCAAAAATAAATAAATATTTAACAAATGGATTACAGATATCCGGTTTTAAAATTTTCTATTATCCAGATTCGTATCTGAAATAACCAAATATTTAATTTCACTATCCGGATCTGGATCTGAACTACACAGATATTCAGTTTTTACGGATCGGATAGGACCGGATATCGTATCGGAGACCGAATACCGGATAATAATTCCAGGCCTACTCATCAATGGGACAATTGAACCACATATCATATTTTAATTTGATTTAAATATACAGTACTTAATTACTTATTTTCTCATTTTACTTTTTTTGAGTTCCAATGTCTCATCGAGAGAGATAAAGATATTACTAGATTCTAACCCCGTGCATCCGCACGAGAATATTTTTTATTGTTTAACGAATTTTGTAATATAATTTGTGTTTTTGAGTTTAGATATAATTATTTTTATAAATATATTTTTTAATAAGTGAAAATATTGATTTTTGTGTTTAGATATATTTTTATAGTATTAAAATTAATTATAATTATAAAAATATAATTTTAACCCGTCTAATATTAATTCAAAATGAACTATTATTAAAACATAATTCTAAATTTTCCGTTCATATTACCGTATAATATAAATATTTGTTAAAAGTTTGAGATGTATTAAAAGTATTATTTAACATTATAGTTTTCTAAAATTTAATCAACGAAAGGAGTGTACAACTGGTTTTTCAAACCACATTATATAGTGTATGTAATAATTTTTAATTTTTAATTTTATTTTGTATGAAAAATATATTTTCGATATATATGTATAATTCAAAATTAGTGATTTTAGTTACCAAAATATTTTTAACCCGATTTTTCATATATATTTTTAGCTCTATGAATTTTAAAAAATATATTTTTAATATTTAAATTATACATTTGAATTTTACCTATTATTTTATTATTAATTTGTAAATAAATCATAATCGTAAATATATCATATCATTTACATCATTATAAATATTTTATCTTTCAAATATGACTATTATTTTTCATATGTGAATTATTATTCTTTTCAAAAATTCTAGATATTTTTGATAAAAATGTTTAATAGTATAGAAGTTATTTATTTTAGAATCTTTAAATCAAATCTAAATTAATATCTGATTTATTATTTTTAATCAAATCAAATCTAAATTACCTATGTTTAAGGAACTATAAAAATATTTAAATTAATAACTAATTTTCAAAATTAAATATAAATAATTATTAAAATTATTTTTAAACACTTAAAAAAAATTAGGATTGTTTGGAAGCAAGTACTAAATGTGCTTCTGTTTTAATATAATAGATGAGTGCATCGTGGTTCGATTATAAATATTTATCACAATTGCCCATCATAACATACATTCTTGCATATCCATCAAGACTCTTAAGTGTCATTCTAGTTTCTGGAAACTACTGCTAGTATTTACTAACCATCAATTTTTTTTTAATTTTTATCCACTACAACTCACTTAGAATCAACTAACAGATCCCAAAAATTTATCATCTACAACGATTAATTAGTAATTTTATTTTATATAAATTTAGGAATATTTGAAGAAATTAATTTAAAACTCGTATATATAATTCATTTAGAATTAATCCTTAGTGATTGTTTCAAATCACAAAATTTGTTTTATTCTATTTAGAAAAAAGTTTTATCCATGATTTATAAACACTAAATACATAAACTGATAAAATTGAAGTTTCTTTAGATTAATCATATAATATCTATCTCTTATTAAGAAAAATATCTTTTCCAAATTCCAGGGAAAATATTGTATTAATGGACGCTAATTATAATGAGAATTTAAGTTTGATAACACAAAAAATTAATAAATCAAACAAACATAATTAATAAACAATAAAACATCACAAATATAGAGTATGAGAAGATGATGTGACAGCCTAGAAATTTTATTGTATGTAATTTATTTATTTATTATGCTTTCTATTAGTTGTTTTTGTTTAATTTTTTTACAATACTGGTTGTTTTTGTTTTTATAAAAAAATATTTTTTGGTATTTTTAATATAAAAATTGTATGTTACTAATTTTATTATATTGTAATACAAATTAAAAAGTCAAACAAAATACTTTTTTATTTACTTTTAGATATTTTGTTCTTATTGAAGTAGTGGTTAGAAGTTTGAATATATTCTATATGCAAACTTAGTGAAATATAAACTATTTTTTTTCCTTTTCAGTTGCTAGCTCTCAGTATCAAAAGGTTATGAGGTTTAACATATTTTTCTGGCTTATTTTCTCCTTAGACATATCATCAACAACGTTAAAGAACCGATTATATTTTAGTTTCACTTCAGTTTTTTTTATTCTCATCTAAATTGATTATTTTTTAAGAATCAAATTACATTTTCCTTCTATCATTTTTCAACTCTTTTTTTTTGTCCCACACCAATGTGTCCTATTGCCCTATATATCCATCGACCATCTCTTTATTTTACTTGTATCTTATAAATTTGTTTGAGTTTTTTTTCTTTTTATTTTTTGTTTAGTTTATTATTTTTTATACTTTTATCTATGATTTATTTTCACGAAAATATAATTTTTAATATATATATATATATATATATATATATAAAGAGAGTTTTTCTCTCCTTTTAATTTTGTGGAATATAGAAAAATTTATCTGCAAAATTAATATAAATATATTTGTGTATTTATATTTTAATATTCAGATTATTATTATTTTTTAAATAGTGTACAGCTGGATACTAAAGTGGCTACCAAGCAAATGTCTCTTTAGATAGATAGTAGGAGGTTAGGAGCAGACACTTTGGTTTGGTTTCAGTTTGATTTTTTAAGGTTTTATGGTTTGTCGGTTAAGTAAACTCAAACCATATAAAACCATATATATTTCAGTTTGGTATGGTTTAGTTATTTTTGGTTTTCGATTTTTTTGTTTAGCTGTGTGCAATTTGCTATAGTTTACTTTTTAAAGTTTATTTTATAAATTTCAATTAAGGGAGATGAACGAATAAATTCTAAAAAATAATACTACAGCTTAAGAGATTCTACTTTCACATGATAAACACACACAAACATGTTATAAACTTTGTTTGTTTTGTTTAGGGTTTCTATTATTTACAGACTTTGTTTTTAAATCTTATATTTAAAGTAAACTATACTGATAAGTCTATTTTAAAAAGGATAACCCAGACTAAAATATACGTAATTCTTTATTTTTTAATTAAAAAATAAAAAAAAATTCATGTGGTCTTACTGTTTTAAAACAAATCAAACCGAAATCAAAACTTAATAAAAATGAAAACCAAATGGATTTTTTTGGTTATCCCATATCCAAACCAAATTACTCCAAATTATTTATTTCGGTTTGATTTTTTCCGTTATGGTTTTTTTTCCAACCCCTAATAAATAAATAAATAATGTACTTTGAGAACTGATATATAAAATAATAAAGGACAAGAATAAAGGGGAAAAAAAACCAATCCATATAGCAAAAGAAAGAAGACGTAAGAGAACCCAAACCCTAATTTAGATATCTCATCATCGACGATTTAAGCTTCCTCCGTCTCTCTTCTCCTCGCCGATCTGCTCTATACTGGTATGATCGATGCTCATCCGGAGGAAGCTCCTCCTACTTTTTGTCATTGTTTTGGTTTAATTTCTTTCTGTGGAAACTCGAAAAATCTCTGCATTTCGGATGTCTGATCTGTCGTGGGCCTGTGATTTTCTTCTTTCTCAGAAATCAGCTTCGTGCATACATCTACTTACTTGTTCCCCATGTCCCTGAATTGCGTGTTTGGATTTTGTTTTGGTGGCTTCTCATGTGGGTTTTAACTTTTAACCTTTCGTTTGGTTGTCAAGGATTCTGCGAGTTTTTTTATTTCTGACTGATAGAAAGTTGTATACTTTCTTCGTGGCATACACCTACTTTCTTGTTGTACAGCAGGACAGATTCCCTATGAAACTGAATTGCGTGTTTGGATTTTGTTTTGTGTCTGGATTTGCCTTAGCTCTGTCTTGTCACTGGTCATGTGGGGTTTTAAACCTTCTTTCCCTATGCACCTGATTTGCGTCTGCCTACTTGGATTTGCTTGGCTTCCTTTCTCTGGTCGTGCATGTGGGTTTTAAACTTTCTTTTGGTAGTTGCTACACTCTATGTTGTGGATATTAGGTCCTTTGTTTATCCCCAGTTCCTGTTTCAGCTCTTAGTTATATATCTTGTCATTTGTCATTAGCCCTGTTACTATCTATTTCCAGCATCTTTGGTCATTGGCCAAAGCAACAGCCTTTGTTATAAATTATTGATTTTTTGTTGTGGGTACCTTGCAGTATCGTCTTTGCAGGATGGCAGATCGATTGACGCGGATTGCTATCGTGAATAATGATCGCTGCAAGCCAAAGAAATGCCGACAAGAGTGCAAGAAGTCTTGTCCTGTTGTCAAGACTGGTACATTTTTCCCGTGTTTCCATTTGCTGGCTTAACCTCTTCTACTGTGTGGCCTATAACACGATATGTTGTTACCTTTGTTCTGGTTTCTCTCTCGCTAGGGAGACTTTGTATCGAGGTGACTCCTACTTCCAAGACTGCTTTCTTATCAGAGGAGCTCTGTATAGGATGTGGTATCTGCGTGAAGGTACGTGTGTATTAGAGTTTGGACAACAACGTTCGAGTTCGACACATTAATTGCGATTCGTTGGTTACACAAATCGCAGAAATGTCCATTTGGAGCCATTCAGATTGTCAACCTTCCCAAGGACTTGGAGAAAGATACAATCCATCGCTATGGAGAAAACTCCTTCAAATTGCACAGGCTTCCAGTTCCAAGGCCAGGACAAGTCCTAGGGTTGGTTGGAACAAATGGTATTGGGAAATCTACGGCTCTCAAAATCTTGGCTAACAAACTCAAACCAAATCTTGGCAGATACAGGGTAAGTGTATATTAGCACTCTTTATGCATCTCTTATGTAACTGATATATGGCATTGTTACTACCTACCATGTTTTGCAGAATCCTCCTGACTGGCAAGAAATCTTGAATCACTTCCGTGGCTCAGAGCTTCAAAGCTATTTCACCAGACTCGTAGAAGAGGATCTAACGGTAGGGTGAAAAATTGATCTTGATAATATTTGTAGTTTATTAAGCAGAATCTAATGTCTACTCTTTGTATGACAGGCCGTTATAAAGCCACAACATGTAGACCAAATAAAAAAAGTTGCTCGTGGTAAGATTGGGGAGGCACTTGAGAAGCTGGACGAGAGAGGAATGATGGAGGAAATTTGTGCTGAGATGGAGTTGACCAAGATTCTTGAGCGTGAAGTAAAAGATGTATCTGGTGGAGAGCTTCAGAGGTTTGCGATTGCTGCGGTTTTCCTGAAGAAGGCAGTGATATACATGTTTGATGAGCCATCCAGTTACCTTGATGTGAGGCAAAGACTCAAAGCTGCTCAAGTTATACGCTCGCTCCTCAGGCCTGACAGGTTTTATTTTTTGATCTAATCATCATCTCTCTGTTGTTTCTTGAACATAAGTATCATATGGGTTTGGATTTTTTTATTTACAGCTACGTTATTGTGGTGGAGCATGACCTCAGCGTCCTTGACTATTTGTCGGACTTTGTTTGCTGTTTGTATGGCAAACCAACAGCATATGGTGTGGTGACTCTCCCCTTTTCGGTCAGAGAGGGAATCAACGTGTTCTTGGCTGGTTTTATCCCCACAGAAAACCTGCGTTTTAGGGATGAATCTCTGACCTTCAAGGTATAGCTTTTTGTTCTCTTAGCTCTCTAGAGAAGCGGTGGATGTTTTTGTGACTGATATGTTTAATTGTTGTTTCTTTCTTTCCAAGGTATCTGATACTTCACTGGAGAGTGATGGGGAAGTGAAGTCGTATGCAAGATACAAATACCCAAACATGAGTAAGACAATTGGTGATTTCAAGCTTGAAGTGATGGGAGGGGAGTTCACAGACTCTCAGATTATTGTAATGCTTGGGGAAAATGCTACAGGGAAAACTACCTTTATCCGGATGCTGGTAGCTAGATTTCTCCTCTTCCTCTGCTCTACTCCTTGTGGTTAGACTTACTTAAGTTGTATCCTGATATTGGCATGCAGGCAGGTGCATTCCCAGATGAAAAAGGGATCCCAGTGTTTAACGTGTCGTACAAACCACAAGGGATTGATTCCAAGCGCGCGTGTACTGTGAGACAGTTGCTGCTTGACAGGATCCGTGATGCATATGTGCATCCACAGTTTGTGTCGGATGTAGTGAGACCGCTCCAGATTGAGGAGCTGTTGGATCAACAGATATGTGACCTCTCAGGTGGAGAGAAGCAGAGAGTTGCCATAACTCTATGCCTTGGGAAACCAGCAGACATCTATCTGATTGATGAGCCAAGTGCGCATTTAGACTCACAGCAGAGGATCACAGCTTCAAAGGTGATCAAACGGTTCATCCTTCACGCCAAGAAAACCGCGTTTATCGTGGAGCATGATTTCATTATGGCGACCTATCTTGCGGACCGAGTCATTGTGTACGAAGGCCAGCCATCCGTCAAGTGTGTTGCTAATTCTCCACAGTCGCTGCTCACCGGAATGAATCTGTTTTTATCGGTAAGTTAGATCTGACTAACACACTTTCTTGTGTCTTGATAATATGAATGAGTAGTCCTTTACATAAAAAAACATGTTGTTGTCCTTGCATTTTGCAGCACCTGAACATCACATTCAGACGGGATCCGACTAACTTCAGGCCAAGGATCAACAAATTAGAGTCACTCAAGGATAGAGAGCAAAAGGCTGCAGGGTCATACTACTTCCTTGACGATTGATTGGTTTTTGGGTAAATTAAAGAGAGAGAGAAGAAGCTTATTTACATGCCAGATCCAGTATCAATAATTACCTTCTTAGACGTTTGATTAATTTTTGGGTAAACTAAAAAGAGAGAGAGAGAAGAAGAAGAAGATTATTTACATGCCAGATCGAGTTTCAATAATTACCTTTGAATTTGGTGGGTTTCAGCATTATTAGTTCTTGCATGTATAAGATGTGTAGTTGTGTAGTTACACATCCTTTTGATCAGTGTTTGAATCTCAGTATGCAACTGCCTAAAAGCGATACTTTTGTCGCTTTTGTGTATTTCCAATTTTAAATTTCTTGGACCCTTTCTTGACTAAAATCCCGACACAACATATTCACATGAATCTTTATCTTCTACAGTAAATGATTTTATAACTAAGAAGTGTAATCAATATTACAACAATCTTTCAAAATGTCTCTCTGAACAATTCTGAAACCACGTGCACATACAATATATATCGAAACAAAATTAAGTACTTGATTTGAGTTTATAGCAAATCTTCTGAAAATATTATGAGTTCGATGATTTTGTTGTAAATATAACTTACATTCTTACTTAGCGTTCAATTTAGATATAAACCTAAAGGAAGCGAAGCAGACGCTATCATTTTTACGTAGACACAGACACTAAGGATTTCTTGATACACAAGCAACAATCAGCTGTAGTGCTGTACTCACGAAGCCATGTATCCTGTATATTTAAATAAATTTTGTTATGAATACCTCTAAATTCATTTAAAAGTGATTATATTATTTATTTTCTTAAAATATCGAACAAATAAAGATAATATACTATCGCTCTCTTAAAAAAAAAAAAGATTGTTAAGATATTATAGTTTCTTACGAGGCATCTAAATTACCTTTCAAGAAATAATTAGTATATATGAAAAAATATAATTACCTTTCTATATTGTTTTCCATAACTTTGAACGTAAGAAATAGGAAGAAAGAAAAAACACTAATAAATCTTTGGTATCGTCTAGATACTTGTGACTAAGATTTTTTTTATGCTGTAGCCTGTAGGTATCAACAAATTAAATCTAGGAAAAGGATATAGTAAATATAAGTTTTACATAATTTTTTTTTTTAAGTTTTACATACTTTGATGGAGTTGTTTTGGAAGTTTACCATTATTCTTTCACTCATTAATTTTTCTCAAAAGTTTACTTGTTCGTATTATTATTTTTTTTTTTGTTCAAATACTTGTTCGTATTTACATCAATGTAAACATGAATGCATACGAAATACAGTATATAAATTTTGCTTGTTTTCCATAATTTTGACATGAATGCATAGGAAAAGGAAGGATATATATATATATATATATCAAAACACAAAGCATTACAAAGGGAGAAAGCAACCATGGAAAATGAGAAAGAGAGGAGCACAGAAGGTAGAACCGAATCTTACCGAATCTTCTGACGTTACTATAGAAATTCTCTTAAGACTTTCGGCGAAATCCATTGGGAAGTTCCGGTGCGTGTCGAAGCTCTGGTCGTCTATGACCACCACTCCTGGCTTTGTCAAGTCTTTCTCTGTTCACTCGTCGGCTCGGCCTTCTCTTCTGTCCTTCAAGAATGAAGAGGACAAGCGTAACGTCTTCTACTCCTTGCCGCATCATCATCACGACGATCCCTGAAATCGTTATAATACTCATGGTGCCGAAAAATACCAGATGATGATCCTCCCTAAAGAGGAAACTGGACTACCTCTTAGGACTGATGAAACTGAAAAGTATTTCATGGATAGATTTGATATTCCCCAATCCGTCCAAGGTTTGGTCTCCTTAGCAAATTTAGAGAGTGTCAAAATCTGGAATCCAACTTTGAGACAACATGTCACATTACCCCAGCCTAAAGTCTCCAAACCCTTGGTAAGCCTTTTGGGATACGATCCGATCGGCAGTGAATACAAAGTCTTGTGTATGTCACTGATCTGTGATGATGCAAGAGAAGAGTACCCTCAGATTCTTACAATGGGATTGAACTCAAGAATCATGGGGAACGTTAATCCACAACAGCCATCGTCCTATTCATTGCCAGATGAAAAGTTGGAGATGCATCAAAGGAGTTGATTATTATATCAAAGCTAATTTAACAATAGTGAGCTTTAACGTGAGATCCGAAAAGTTTGGAGTAATCCAAATACCATAGATGGTGAATGTCATAATACAAGGGTGTGCATGTTCCACAAGCAGAGTCTAATTCTCTCTACGAACACTTTTTTCTAACACTTAAATGTTTGAAACTTGCGGGGCAAGAAAACAAGCGAACGTTGTCGTATCCTCTTTTTTTTTCTCAATCACAGTGAGTGCCCGTTTGATTTTTTTTAATCCTGGTGGATTCAACCTCGAAATTGTAACCAGACACGCTCTTCTGGGGCTGCTCTTGGATACAAGAACAACAAAATCTTGCCATAACTACAAAATCTTGAGGTGTAGGAAGGATCGTGAACTGTGTTGGGATAATAACTTCTAACAGGTTGTTCGGTCTGAATTTGATAGAGATGCGGAAGCGAACGAACAAGATTACGACAAACTCAGTGAGAACTCGCAGCAACCTTGGTGTTGTATTAGAAGATCGACGATCAACTAAGACAATGGAAACAAGAGTACTCCTCTTAGGCTATAAGAGGTGACCATTTCAGGAACAATAGATATGATAGAGAAAAGGAATAAAAAAAAAAGGATATGAACAAATTAGAAGGAATAAATGTAGAGAATAAATGTAATAAATTGTCACGGTAAATGGTATCCATAAAATTGTAGAGAAGGAATGGAACAATATATATAATATACTTTTATTAATTTCCTTTTTTTGCATTCCTCTCGTTCTTTAATAAATTTGATAGGGAATATATTTGTTCTATCATTCCATTTTAAAACAGGAATAAAGAGGAATGACATGTAATAGTTATTCCTTTAAATGGTAAAAAAATTTAGGAATGGAGAGGAATAACACATTCCTCATCATTCCATTCCTTAATTATGATCACCAGTTGGAGCCTTAGTGCTTAGAAAGCTCTGTAAATTCAATTGCAAATTCAACATATCTCGTACAAAGTCGTTAAACGCTATTTAAACTAAAAGAAAGAGATCTAATAAGATCTTTCATCCTAATCGCTAAAGATTTAAACTTATTTCCTAAAACAAGTAAAAGATACAAAAACAGCTAAGTAAAAGAAAAATCAAACACGTTAAGCCCAACGTGTTTGTGAAGCCCAAGCTTCCAATAATGCGCTGCATCAGGTTTCCCCAGGTGGGAAAGGATTCGACCGCGAATCCGGCACGTCATTATCGCCGTGAAAAGGAGTCAGATGCTTCACGTTAAACACGTCGGAGGTGCGAAGGTCCGAAGGAAGACGCACACGGTACACATTTGGGTTAATGCGTTCAAGAATCTCCACAGGTCCGATCTTCCTGGACTTAAGCTTGTTGTACTCACGCAAAGGAAGACGATCTTTCGTGAGCATGACCCAGACGAAGTCACCCGGTTCGAAGATAACCTCACGCCTCTTTGCATCAGCTGCGATTTTGTACTTGTCAGTTGCGGACTCCAAATTAACTCGCGCTTGATGATGGACCACCTGTAAGTCATTGACAAAATCAACAGCATCACCGTGAAGACGAGTCTGATCAGGCAAGGGCGTCAAATCCAGAGGACATCGTGGCACGACGCCATACACCACTCGAAAGGGACAGAACCCCAAACTGCGATTAAAGGCATGGTTATGTGCGAATTCCGCCTGACATAACTTGACATCCCACAATTTGATATTAGCGCCCACTAGACAGCGTAACAAGTTTCCCAGAGCTCTTTTGGCGACCTCTGTCTGTCCATCCGTCTGAGGATGGTAGGCGGAGCTCATGTCAAGGCTTGTGCCTAGGAGTTTCCAAAGAGACCCCCAAAAGTGACTCAGAAAACAAGTGTCACGGTCCGACACAATCGACAGTGGAAGACCATGCAACCTGTAGATCTCCCGAAAAAACAAACCTGCAACACTAACTGCATCCGTCGTCTTTTTACAAGGAATGAAATGTGACATCTTGAAAAAGCGATCGACGACGAAAAAAATCGAATCATGGCCTCGTTGCGTGCGAGGTAAACCCAAGACGAAATCCATACTCACATCTGCCCAAGGCTGAGTAGGGATCGACAATGGAAGATAAAGGCCAGCGTTGGAAGCCCGACCTTTCGCCTTCTGATAGGTGCGACAACGTTAGACGAATCTTTCTACATCCCGTCGCAGTGTGGGCCAAAAATAAGAAGTGGTCACCAGCTGCAAAGTCCTGTCACGTCCCACATGTCCCTCGTTGTGGAGCTCAGCAATTATCTGTAAACGCAAGCTACATTGTGGAACACAAAGACGAACTCCGCAGAAAAGAAAACCATCATGCACCGTGTAGTCAGCGCTAAGACCTCGTTCTGCATCGTTGACAATGCGCCCAAAAAACGGGTCAGAGGTGTAAAGTTCAGCAAAGGAGGCGGAGCCAGAGACTGATGTATGCATTTCTGTGAGCAGAGTATGACGACGACTCAGGGCATCGGCAACACGATTTGTCTTACCCGACTGATGTCTAATGGACAAAGTGAACTGCTGGAGGTACGAAATCCATGATGCATGACGTGATGAAACTTTGGCTTGGCTGTCTAGATGTCGAAGGGCAGCATGATCCGTGAATAAGATAAACTCGCGATGAACCAAGTAGTGCCTCCAATGCTTAATAGTCTGCACTATCGCATAAAATTCCACGTCATAAGTATTGTATCGGCTTCGTGCCCCTGGCAACTTTTCACTATAATAAGCAACAGGACGTCCGTTTTGGCTAAGCACAGCACCAATTCCCAACTTTGACGCGTCGCAGTGGAGCTCGAAGGTCGCAGAAAAATCGGGAATAACCAAAATCAGAGCTGTCGTAAGCTTCTCTTTGATCAGCTCAAATGCTGCAGTGGCTTCAGGCGTTCAATGAAACCTGCCTTCCTTCATACAGCTAGTAATGGGAGCCATAATCGAACTGAAATGACTAACAAACCTCCGATAAAATGAGGCAAGGCCGTGGAAGCTTCGTATTTCGGTGACAGTTTTCGGAAGTGGCCATGACTTTACCGCGTCAATCTTCGAGTGATCTATAACAAGTCTTTTCGGCGAAACCACATAACCCAGAAAAAGTACTTCAGAGACACCAAACTCACACTTCTGCTTGGCTGCAAAAATGTGTTCGCGTCGCAAAACAAGCAGCACATCGCGGAGGTGCCGTGCGTGATCCGCTAAAGATGAGCTGAAGATCAATATGTCGTCA